TGAGAGTGATTAGAAAAGTTGTGTGACCTGCCCAAGTTTCCATTGTAGGAGGAGGGGAAGAACGTCAGGCCTCCCAACACCACCACTGAACAGTAAAAGGACAGACAGCTAAAATTATAATTTGATTATATCACAAATCATGCTCATTTGGCGTCCCAGGAACTCGCTGAGCCTTAACTGCTGGGTAAATGCACCTGCTGGATTTCATGTTTATTCTCCATCTGTCTTCTCTCTCTCTTTAGAGATAACATTATTGATAGTATTGTGGGTATTCCGACAAATACAGAAAAACGTAAGACAAGTATACCAGAAATCCTTTCATGTTATTAAAAAATATGATCTTGGTCTTTCTAGTTTGAAACCATTTTAGTTCTTCCAGTATGCAGTTTTTTGGATTTTGAAATCATGAGTCAAAATAATAGTTTATGTTTACTTGCTCTTTTCCAAAGTTCTCTCATGTAATCTTTATTTTATTCTGACAACCACACTACAGAGTAGGACAAATATTAGTCTCATTGTATATCTAAAGCAAACAGTTTCAGGCCAATGAAGTGACTTGGCCAGGTCAGTGCAGGGTAGTGGCAAGGTCCTATCTTGTCTGGACTGCAGACTTCTAGTTCTGCGTTCTGTTTTTGACTCTGAGCTGCCGCTCCTATGATCAATGCTCCTGGATCAGTGCAACCCAAATACCTCAAAAGGGAACTGGGCAAAATCTATTGCAAGCAAGACCCTTTGAGTCAACACATGTATGTTAAAAAAGGATCAACAATTAGAGACAAAACCATTTTCACAGCCCAAATATATATGATACGGATTTCTCAAAAAAGTGCGCCAAAGTGTTGAAAATCTTTAGTCCTGAGCAGCAATCCCTAAGTCTCTGCCCCCTAGAGCCCTACAGTTTCTTGTTAAGCCTTCTCCCGGGGTGTTTGCTTCGTTCTGTGTCCTCTGAAGACCAGCTGGCTTTCTCCACTTCTCCATGCATGTGGCCCCGCTCATCTTGAGTTTGCTTATCTTTCTATCACATGACCAGCAGAGAGAGATTCGCATCTCGGCCTCTCAGTGGCCGAGTGTGGGTCTGGTGAGCTACGGTGTTGTTAGCTGTGGCTTTGCTGCTGTGTGTGATTGAGGAGGAAGGCAGTTCTCAGAGATCTAGAGATTTCTAAATGGTATTTATCTTTAATATTAGAACGCAAAAACGAGGTGAAAATAGTAGAGGGCCCCTTTTACATTCTCATCTCCAGTAATTTTTCTGTACTCAGATTCCTAAAATAAAATGTGCTGATAGTACAAGGAAGCAGTGAGGTAGCATAGAAATAGCAGGGACTTTAGTCTGCTACTAATTAGCCATATGGACTCGAAAAAGTTACCAAGTACCTTTGAGTTTTAGATTCCTGGACTGTTAAATGAGCACTATAACAATAACAAGGACAGGAATAATATCTTCATCACTGAATGGTAAGGATTACCCTGGATAGTGAAGGTGGAAATGAGTAGCACGATGCCTGGCACACAGTAGGCTCGCAAGAAACGGGTCACATGAAGGTTATAGTGACATCGATGCACACATTTTAATGGAGAGGCAGGAGAAAATAAGTACAAATCAGTATTTTTTAATGCATGAATCAATCAGGTACATACAGAGGACCATTTACTTGTTCATTTACATGTCTTATAAATAATGACTTCAAATTCCCGCCAGTCAGCAGACACAGCGTGAAGCCCTGTGCTAAGTGTTGTGGATCAAAAGAAATGCAAGTGATAAAGTTAATTTGTTTATCAGGACCCAGACCATGGAGGCCTCCAGTGGCCCAGTCCATGCCACAAATCTAAACCTAAGTCAGCCTGCACTTACCCAAAACACCTGTCAAGGAAACCCAACAATACAGCAATCACAAGCCTTCGACCCACCTTTAGCTAGTTTACCTTACTCTAGAAAACAGAACCCGCTCAAGCCTTATAAGGAAGTCTCCAACCTCCTAGCCAATCATACTCTGTTTCTGAGCTGTCTCTTCTAATGCTCTGTGAGGCTTGCTCTTGCCCCAGATCCCTCGGGAACAGTGCTCGGCTGCTTGTGAGGCGCTGTATCCCCAGTCCGTGAATTGCTTTCCCTTGAATAAACAATATCAAACTGGTTTCTCAATTGTATTATTTTTGTCACTTGACCCAAGGTATAATTTCTTCAGAGAGGATGTGAACAGATTTCATGAGGCAGTGAGGGCTTAAGCACTGGGCAGTGATAGTGGAGAGGAAAAGAACGGTTTAGGGGGAAATGAGGGAGAATCAACGGGTTTGGGGGACAAGAAACCAGCACGCGGGAGGTGGGCTGTCAGAGATGACTCAGAGCTCAAATCGGGCGGCTGGAGGAATTGCGTCGTGTGAGCCGACAGAGAGAAGTCAGGCGGGGAAGACAGCTTGCAAGTTTAATTTCAGATTTGGCTTTGAGGGTGGTAAGAAGTCCAAGGGAAAAGTCCATCGGCTCCTTGGAAACGTGGGTATATGGGGAAAAAGGTCTGGGGGAGGGACAAAGGCAAGAAATGTATATTTGGGTGTACTGTGATACAGAAAATTTCTGAAAGGGTGTTTTAAAGTCCAACTTTTCAAAGTGTAACAATAGAGAGCTAAATACGTATTATACAATCTTTGCATTTTGTCAGGCACTGCCTCTCAAAGGATCCATGCAATGGTGGATGTGGATAAGAACACTTATAGTAGTAGGATCCTGGTTGAGCACCTGACGACAGACATGCTGGGGCCCTGAAGAAGCTGATTCAGGCCTTGCCCTTCTCTGCCCTCAGACCTGTCAGTCCCTGGACTTTGAAAGTCCAAGCCAGGGTGACGTGAGGAAAGGACTGGGTCTCTACCAGCCACCTTGCCTCTGCATGTGCAGCTCTGATTTAGTCTCCCGGGGTGTTTGGTTCTGCACCATCCATTGCTGGGGAAGGGGTTGGAGGTAGAGGGGAGAAGGGAATGCAATATGAGAAAGAGGAGGTGCTTGGAATGGCCAGGGGACCCCTGCTAAGCTGGAAGCCCCACCACGTGTGAGGGTCGTTTCAGGGCCCTCGGCTTTTGAAGTCAGGGAGTTCTGAGCGGGGAGAGGGGGTCGGGGGTGTGATTGAGGGCCCTCCCGGTAGGGGCCAGAGACTTGGTTGCCTAGGCTTTAGCTCTGCCCCCACAGGCTTCCACTGGGGCACTCTGCACAGGTGCAGCTCCTTCCCCTGGACCCAGAAGCAGGCAGCCAGCCAGCTGATGCATTAACGGTTACATTCCAGGTAATGGGAGGTGGTTTAATGTATAATGAGTAAGAGTGCAGAGTCTGGATTCCAATTTATGTAAGACTTTGCATAGACAAAGTTCTGTACCTCAATGAGGAAATAACTGTAAACAAAGAGGACCAAGAACTAAACTCTGGGGACGGTTGCATTTGGGAGCCAGTGAAGGAAAATAAGCAACAGAATGGAAAATAAGAAGCCTGTGAGTTAGTTTTATCACAGTGTGGAAGTCTGATAGAAAACTATCACCTAGAAGGAAAAAAGAACAGTTTCAAGCAGAACTATAATCTTCTTATCCAAGGATGATACCTTGTTATTTGCTATATCAAGCTATCATAGCTACATATCTAGTTATACCCGAGGGAGGCATTTTTCAACCTCAGTACTACTGGCATTTAGGCGGGAGAAGTCTTTGTTGTGAGAGGTCTCCTGTGGATCGTAGGATGTTCAGCAGCATCCTTGACCTCTACTTACTAGATGCCAACAGCAGTCCCTCACCCACCCCTGTCCTTCACCTGTAACAATAACAAAAATAAAAAAAATTTTGCCAAATGTCCCCGAAGGAGAAAAAGTAACCTCTCATTCAGAACCACCAGTGTAAAGGATTTTACTGCATCTCTGATAAAAGTCTTCCTGTGTTTCATACTCGTGTTTTAGGAGAATGACAAAAGAAACATTTTGGATTTGAATTTGGCATTGATAATCAAACATTCCTTATTGGCTTTGGAACGTAGCCTGATCTAAGTCAATAAACTATTTTTCCTGTGGGAAAATCAGACTTTAAAGTTGGGGACAAGAGCTATATCCATGGGATCTGGTTTCCCATCACACTTTTCCTGGGCAGCTTTAGAAGAGGAAGCAAGAAGTCGTCAGGTTTAGGAGGGAAGACTGGAGGCTGCCCTCCCCCCGCCCCCCCAGTGTGATCTCTATGCCCTAGGCAAGTGACTCCATCCCAGTTCCCTCACCTGTAAATGGAGGTAAAGATAGGCACACAGGAGGCACCGGATGGGTAGGGAAGTGTGGGCGTGTCCTTTTGATGGTTTGCACTATTATTATTAAGTTCCCTTTTTTCCTTCATACGTCAGGAGAATGAATTGTTAAGAAAAGAACTATGTAGAACAAAATTAATGTTCTAAATAGAACCTATAAACTCATAATGGGGGATGGGAGATGGGGGCTAAAAGAGACCAACATGTACCAAGTGCCTGATATGTGCCGAGTGCTGGGCTAGGAAGTGTGCAATAGACCAAGGAAAAAGAAAAAGAAGAGACAAACGAGATGAAGCAGACGGGAGTCAGAGAACAGGAACTGACGGGACCTGTCCGGACAACGGAAAGATCTGAGTGCATGGTGAGGGGAAAGGAAGTAGAAAGGCGAGTTTTGGAATGCGAATGGCTTAGAAAGCAACTATGGAAATAATAATGGAGAAAAATACCCAACTGCAGAATTTCTAACTTCTTGAATTGAAGAGCATGTAATGCATTTACATTTTCACAATTATTTCCTGTTGGGTGAAAAAAAAAAAAAGGAAAAATACACTAAGAATTTATCCAAATACTATATTCAGGAAGAGTTAATTTTGATATAACTTATTTACCAATTATAGTTTCTGATATAATCTCTTCTTTTAAAAACGCAATAATTTAAAAAATAAAAACCCTTAAAATTAAAAAGAGATTATATATTGCTAAGGCACAATTTTGAAAATACACCTAATAAATGCTGACTCTCGTGCTTGCTTCCGCAACACATACACACAACGTTGAACAGTACAGTGAAGATTGGCATGGGCCTTGCTCAAGAATGATACACAAATTCATGAAGCATTCCATATTAAAAAAAATAAATAAATGCTGACTCTCAAATGAGTAAAATAAAGTACTAAATGATAAGGTAGTTGCTACTGTCAAATGTTAATGGCTTAGGGCCTTGAATTTCAAAAAAAGATTTAACCGATTAGGATATTTGATCTTAAAAGTTTAATAATTACCCAAAGAAAATCTAATATTATACTTATGTTTTTTAATACCCCATGACATTTTCAAATAGCTTTGTCATCATAAGCATTTAGCTTCTTCAGCTACCAACTTTAAAATGTATCTGAATTCCTTAAGCACCTCCTCATCATAATACCTATAGGGTCAATTGTCACACAGTGTCAGTTAATATCATTTGTCTTTGGAAAATGCTTCACAGTACCTCACTGGGATGAAATGTGATGAAATTGGGTGCCTGGGTGGCTCAGTTGGTTGAGCGGCTGCCTTCCACTCAGGTCATGATCCTGGAAGGCCAGGATCAAGTCCCACATGGGGCTCCATGCTTGGCGGAGAGTCTGCTTCTCCCTCTGACCCTCCCCCGTCTCGTGCTGCTCTCTCTCTCAAATAAATAAATAAAATCTTTAAAAAAAAAAAAGAAATGTGATGAAATTGTGGCTTGCTGTGTACAGCTAAGCTGCATGTCTACAGGACATAAATATAATAAATATAATGTATTCTCCCCCAGGAGAGTTATAATTTCAGGGAAAAGAAAGGAACTTGAGATAGAAGAATTAGCAAAATTAGGTAAGAGAAAAAGTCAAATTGCATGTCCGGCAGATCTCCATTTTCTTCCCCTAGCCGTCTCCAGTGCTCCTGGAGCTGTGGGTAGCAATTTGAAAAATGTGCTTTGCTGGGTGAGATATGCTACAACCCCCTTCCTGCACGAGGATATTATTCCACTCCCATTTCTTTTGCATAATTCACTTTTCTTCAATAATTCCACAGGCCTGCCTGATTCTCCCTTCAGGGCTTCAGGGTGCAATCACCCACGCACGACCCAGAGCGGGGAAGGAGAGGTGGCCCTCCTCTTGGTGTCTCCAACACGCAGGTGCATGTCCATTCTCTTCTTAAGGAACAATGGCAGGTTGTTTTGTACAACCACACGGCAGGTTTTTCAGAAAAGGGGGGACAACGAAAGAAGAGCACACAGATGAGACATTTGCAGTCTTTTCTCTCCTTGTGTCCTTTTAAGCTACAGCGATGTTACCTCCCAGACCGTGTTTCTATATCTACTTCTGCAGTCTTTGGAAATGTCGGGGCAGGTAGGTGGGTGAGGCAGCGAGGGGGGAGGTGGTGGCGGCAGGTGCAATGCAGTTTGAAAGAGGTGTTTGGTATAATCTTTTTGGGGATGTCCCCAAACTGTCTTGACGATATATCTGGCTCTCCCATTTTGAAGAATAAAAACCCAACATGTTACTGCTATGTATAACAATACAAGTTTTCCGTGCCCTTTTTCGCCTTCCTAAAATAGAGTTCTTCAATATTAGCACAGTGGAAGCAGTGGGAAAAAAATAAAGACCAGAAGCTTTTTAAAGATTCTTTTGCATGCTCAATAGGGTACCACATCCTGCTCTTGACACAAAACAAAACTACCCAAAGTACTCTCAAAGCAAGATTTTAGAGAATTAAAAAAAGGATAAGACTGTATTAGCAGAAGTTTCCAACTACCAGGAAAGTAAAAATATACCGAGTGTAGGATCACATGCCATGGCCATTTCTCTTTGGGATTTGGGGCTCCACATGGCCTAACTGGAAGGGAGAAAATTGTGCCTTCTTCATTCTCAAGACTCTATTGCATAGACAAAGTTCTGTACCTCAATGAGGAAATAACTGTAAGCAAAGAGGACCAAGAACTAAACTCTGGGGACGGTTGCATTTGGGAGCCTCCTTGAATCCAAGGAGGATGTTGAAGCAAAGTCTTCCTTCCAGAGAGTATAATGTAATATAATGCAATGCAATATATATAGCAACTTCCTCTTTGGAGATCAGAATAATCTTCTCATTTTTGGATACAATCTAGATAGAGCCAGAGAAAGCAACTGGATCCTTGTCAGAACCTTCTTATTCTTCTCTCCCATGAGGGTTGGAATTAGAACCTTTCTGAGTTCCTTCCAGGTTTAACATTCCATAATGCTTTCTGCCCCCCTTGGCAGGTGGCACTGTCACACCAATAAAGAAAACATATACACTTATTGTGTCCCAGTTTGGAAAAAGAATATTACTCAACATAAGTTCGCACATAAACTTGATAAATTCAATGTGAACTTTAAGCTCTCAGGAGGCCTACATCTATGTGAGGAGGATGAGTTCTCAGGGAGGCACACAAACTGGGGACAGAGGTGCCCTGCAACATCCCGAGGTGTGATCTTAGCCCCATCTGCGTATTATCATCGAATCCTTTGATATCTGTGATGTCATGTGAAAATCCAATGCTTACCACCCGGAAGAGTGGGAGTGGGCATATGTGACATTTGACAAGCAAAGTCCCTGCGGTTCCGTAGTTGTGCCTCACTCAAGATCACAGAGCTAGTCGATACATTTAAAAGTGTGCAAAGCCCTCCATGATCTGGATCCTTGCTACCCCCCCATCATCTTCTACCTCTCTTGCTGCCTTTGGGGTCTATGAGAGCTTATTCTAAGTTGTGTGCACTTTGTGAAGCTAACAGTGTAGCTTCACAGCTCTGAAAACTCTTAGTCATCCCTCAAGGCTCAGTTGGAGCCTTGCTCCTTGGAAGAACCTCCCCGCGCAAAGGCTCATCTGTGTCACTCACGCACATTACCTCCTTGCTAGTGCTGCTCACAGTACTGCAGTGAATCGTCTCTATATCTGCTTCTCTTCCCACATCAGTAGCTGCTTTTCATCTGGAGTCCCTAGCGCTTGGCACAGAGCCTAGAAATTACAGGGGCTTGATAAATACCTGTTGGATGACTGAAGGCCTCCTGGAGAAAAGCTGACCTAAATATAGATTTAAAGAAGAATAGAATGAGCACTGCTAATAATTTAACCTATGTACAATTTGTAAATGTATTACCTTGCTTCATAAGAATGTAGATAATGGTTTTAAAAAATCTAGTGGTATCATAGTATGGACCTGTGGTTTTGCTCTAGTTAGAAAGAGAGCCAGAACCTGCTCTCCAGATTCTTAATACTCTTAGCTTAGAACTTCTTCTATGCAATACTGTATGTGCACATTGTGAACTGATCTTTAAGTTTGAGGGTCTAGTTCTAGAGAGACCTTTCAAAAAATAATAAAAATATTATTTTACATTTCCACAGGATGTATTATTTAACTCCCCCCCCCACAGTCCAGTGTTCTGCTCATGTTCTAGAAACTGATCACATCACACTGGGCATGTAAGTTTGTGCTTGATTGGCATTAGAAATGAAACGGTATAATAAAAATTATACATGTATATATAATGAAAAGCAATATTTCCTGAAAAGCCATAACGCACTCTGTATCTTAGGGAGACCTAACCAAAGAAAGCCCCTACAGTTTTTTTTTTTAAGATTTTATTTATTTATTCGAGAGAGAGAGCGAGGGTGAGAGAGAGAATGTGTGAGGGGAGGGGCAGAGGGAGAAGCAGACTCCCCGCTGAGCAGGGAGCCTGAGTGGGGTTCCATCCCAGGACCCTGGGATCATGACCTGAGCCGAAGGTAGACCCTTAACCGACTGAGCCACCCAGGCATCCTAAGCCCCTACAGTTTCTTATAGGTGTTCAACACAGGACACATCCCCCTGGGGGTCTCCTCTAATGTCAGTGACTAGCAGCTCTGAAATGGTGGGTGTGAAAGTGAGAATCACTTATTCTCCTACAAAGAAAGAGATAAATGTCACATCCCCATCCCAGCTTATGTCCACAGTTAGCTCAAAGGAGATATAAGACTGTTCCAAGAGCAATTTGATTTGTAAGTGCTGGGAAGAAAGGAGCCATGTGAAGAAAGTGTCAAAAGGAAGCTTTGTGGAGGCATAAAGATAAAGTTCTCCTCATTACAGCCCAGATTGTAGAGCCAAGTGTATTCACACACTCTTGTAAGTGGGTTTGGCCAAACCTTGGAACCATCTAACTATGCTCCAAGTGAATGGGGAACGATCTCTGGTAGAGTTCTTAGGGTCTGACAAGACAATAATTAGGGAGGAAAGTTTGGAAGTTAAAGTAAACCACAGCCTAGCTCTGTGTCATCTCCTTTGTTAGTTAGTCCAGGCATTATAAAAATGGGCAAGCCAGAGAGCCAACAGATGTCATTAGCCTAGTTCTTGGCAAGCACTTATCAGGCAAAGAATATAAGCTGAGCTTTTTTTCCCCGGGGAGGCATTCCATTTGTCAGCAATTTCTTTCTGCCAGACCACAAATCAACAACTGCTAGATAAATGAAATGCTTCCACTCAACTTACAAACTCTTGGGTAAAGTATTTATTTTCTAGAAATAAAAATGCCCTTTTTATAGCACAAGCTATAAATGGTCCCAGTGGGTCCCACTAAAGCAATCAAATGCCAGATCTATAAATCTTATAGACCCTTATGGAAAATGGAAGTGGCTCTGTTAGGCATCACGTTGAATGATGCAATAGGTTCACAGACTAAAAAATGGCAGAATAGGTCCATAGCTAATAGGTCAGTGACAGACTGAACCCATTTGCTTTGGTAATGGTAAGGGAAATTCAGTGTAACAATAGCTTAAGATATATTTTATGAAGATAACATTTGTTTTGAAGACTTTGGATTGTATATTTTTTGAATTATGCTGCAGTATAATTTGACATTAGATATACTATCATATATAATGATCAGGAGACATTCAAGTCTACGGCCATACCACCCTGAACGCGCCCGATCTCGTCTGATCTCGGAAGCTAAGCAGGGTCGGGCCTGGTTAGTACTTGGATGGGAGGAGACATTCAAATGCGGAAAGAAATGTGACTGTGGCCTAACACATAGTCTAGGCTCTCCGTCTCTCTGTGTCTTTCCTTCACACTTATTCCTTCCTGCTGTGTGTGTGTGCACGCGTGTGTGTACGC